TTAGAACAAATGATCTGCTCTAATCCAGGCACTCAGAACTCTCTCAAAAAAAAATTTTTTTTTTAATTGACTTACTCAGGTGGTCCTTTGGGAAAGGATGCTTTCTCCCAGAACAACAGAAATGACCTGATAATCATGACTTGACAAAAAGCTTCCTAAAATCAGCCAATCCCAAACTGAGTACCAGAAATTTAATAATTTTGAGAAGGATGTTTGTTCCATTATTTGATTGTTTTGTTTTCTTCTACATATGAGAAAATTCATCAAAATAGTTCCCTTATTCATGGCAAAATATGACTCCAATTAAACAAGGTGGGAGGAATCATAGTATTACATAAAACTAACATTTACATGGAGCTAAGAAAAATTTCTGCTGTAGAAAACAGAAGTATAGCTCAGGTTAAACTATTCACTTTTATACAGAGGAACTCCCTCCTGGTTAAATATGCCTTTAGTCAAGATGCATTCAGACACTATAGCAAATAAGCAAATTTTAGCCAAATATTATGTCTGTCACCCAACAAGTCATCAACTTTGCAGGGTGACAGGTAGCATATTGCCTGAACAATCCATTGAAGTGACAATTATTAGATCCAAAATTATTTTTTCAGCTCACTTCAGTTGACCAATGTATGATCTTTAGCAGAAATTTTCACTTCTCTTCCTCTGGCTACTTGTTTGTCATATAAATTGAGACAAGGACAATCTTATATTGCATTTGTAGCGTATGGCATAGTGAGAGCCTAGTTTCAAGAGCGGCACATAGGTGCTGCAACCGAATCTTCTGGGCACATTCTGAAATCTGATTTAACTCGAGTCAGTGGAAATAACGTGCCAAAATACATTTTCTCTCTGAAAAAGTGCTTCCAGTCAGAAGAGTACAAGTTGAATCTAGCCTAAAGGATCCATCTAAGTTGGATCCAGCTTAGGTGTCTGATGAAAAGGTAAACTGTTGACTAACAAAGTAGCAGATCAAAGGCTCAGTTGCACAGGAATGAGGCACACCTACAAATACCCCTGAAACGGGAAGGAGAATAAATCTGAAGTCTGTTACATAGAAGGCAGAAAAGACAAAAGACTCCAAAAGAGTCTACAATGACAAAATGAGAGGGGGGGGAAGGGGAATTCGCTCAAAGGAGTGGCATACAGGTTAAACCAAAAAACAAACAAAACACAGAAAAAACCCACACCACACACACATGACATCAGGAGGGACCTGATGCTCCAGGGTCATCAGGGCTGTAATTCAGAATCCATTTCTTCTGTAGTGAAAACTCTAGCAGTAAGCCAGACTGATATGCCAGATGCACAGATAAAAAGGAAAAAAAGGAAAAAAGACAATGCAACTAAATTGTATAATTACATTGTCCAGTAGTTTCCAAGAAAACTGAATGTAAATCTGCATTACCTTTCCTTTGAAGTTTTGTGCCCAGCTCTTCACTTTCTTTACCACGTAATCCTCATATCCTTTTATTAGAGCACTCCCAAGACACTTAATTTTAACCCTGCTCCTTAACTTAGTCACACCTTCTCTGCTATTGAAGCAACTTATTTTACATCAGACATAACAAGACTACTTGTAATCTTTTTAGGGAGGAGCCACTGACTACCATTAGACTTCTGGGTTCTCTTGGATACACCCTGGCCATAAAAACCAATCCAAGTAGTGAACCAAGAGCACATTTATATGATTACTTAAAACTAAAACAGTTTTCCCAATTGTTTTTACACAGCAGCAAGTCTCCTGCTGTCCTAATTTCTATTCTCTCAGTGAACGCAAAATAGAATAACTGACACAGAGCAGAGCCAAAGCAATACAGCATTGTAATCCTTTGTACAAATACTTAGCCTAAAGTCTAGTATCTTCACCTAAAGCTCTTATATTCAAATACCTTTATGAATACACCAGTCCTGCAATGCAATCCACTGGAGTAGACCTCTGGGCACTGAGATGCAGGGAGCCAGGAAACACAAATAAGCCTTTAGTAATAGACACTGATAGAGGATAAGGTCCTACAGAAACCATAAAAAATAAAACTGTGTTATGGAGAATTTTCTATAAGTTAAATAAGTCAGTTACACACCACTTTAAAGAGCATTAGTTTATTATCTATTCTCCAGGTGTTACTCAGAAACAGTCTAATTATATACAAAAATTTGGAATGTTGAATAAATGCTGATCAATAAAAACATCATTTCATAGCTGCTGACAAGGGAATATAGCTAAACAAAAACAAAATAATCATAAAGGTTTAATTCTGTGTGTCGCTTATTGCTATGTTTGTGTTCATAGAATGCTTTCACGTATATACACATTTAACTCCAGTCCAAAAAAGAAACTCAGAAAAATATTTACATAATAAATATGTGGGAGATTTCATCTTTTCATTATGTCAGTTGAACTGATTCTTTAATGAACTATTAAGAATAGAAAGAATTAACAGAATTTGCATCAACTCATTGCCATACTGAGTAAACTTATGCTGCTGACGGATTTTATTCTATTCAAAATGTAGTT